TGGGAATTGAAGACAGAGGCATGGATCTGACAGGGATGTTCTACTCATTTCTGTATCTTTAATACTTAGCACAGTGGCTGGTACAAAGTAGGTGCTCAAAAACCATTTGCTGAATTCAATTAAACTGAAATTTATATGACAGTCATTGAACTGTTTGTCATCTCTTTTCTCCTTAGGTTTACAATTCAGTTCTTTATTTGTATGTTTATTTTAATTTAATTGCTTAATGTCTATCTCACCATCTACATTAAAAACACCATGATGGATCATGTCTTTCTTTATCACTATATTCCAAGATACCCCTGGTACATTGTGTGGCACATAAGAGGTGCTCAATTAATATCTGTTGAATGAATTGAGCAAATACTGGAAGTAGATCCATGAAGTAGATCCATGGCTAAGCGGCCAGCCCCCTGTGGGAGTGCACTGACCACCAGTGCATCCCCCTGTGGGAGTGCACTGACCACCAGGGGGCAGCTCCTGTGTTGAGCATCTGCCCCCTGGTGGTCAGTGAGCATCATAGCGACCAGTTGTTCTGCCATTTGGTCTATTTGTATATTAGGCTTTTATTATATAGGACTAGAGGCCCAGTGCACGAAATTTGTGCACTGGGGGGATATCCCTCAGCCCAGCCTGCACCCTCTCCAATTTGGGACCCCTCACAATCCAGGACTGCTGGCTCCCAACCGCTCGCCTGCCTGCCTGCCTGCCTGATTGCCCCTAACTGCTTCTGCCTGCCAGCCCACTCACCCTCTAACCACTCCCCTGCCAATCTGATCCACGCCTAACTGCTCCCCTGCCAGCCCGGTTGCGCCCAACTGTCCTCCCCTGATGGCCCAGTTGCCCCCAACTGCCCTCCCCTGCAGAACTGGTTCCCCCAACTGCCCTCCCCTGCCGGCCCAGTCACCCCCAACTGCCCTCCCCTGCCAGCCCGGTCGCCCCCAACTGCCCTCCCCTGCCAGCCCGGTCGCCCCCAACTGCCCTCCCTCACATGCCGGCCATCTTGTGCCCACATGGGGGCGGCCATCTTGTGTGAGGGTGTGTCGTTCAATTTGCACATTACCTCTTTATTATATAGGACTGACTTCAGAGAGGGAGAGGGAGAGAAACATCAATGATGAGATTCATTGATCAGCTGCCTCCTGCACGCCCTCTACTGGGGATCAAGCCCACAACCCAGGCATGTGCCCTTGACCGGAATGGAACCTGGGACCCTTCAGTCCACAGGCTGAGGCTCCATTCACAGAGCCAAATCAGCCAGGGCTGCTGTTGTTTTTTTACAAGTATTATTTTCACTGAAACAAAGGTCTCTTTCTCTAAAATGATACTAGTTTAATCTAACACATATATCAAAAACAGAGTAAAAAGATGCTTATCTGCTTCTGGAAGTGATCATAGGAATAATTACTAACTATAAAAGATTTGTCTCTAGTTTTCTTCTTATGAAATAACCATCCCATCATCTTGATACTGTCACTCTGAAAAGGCCAGGAAAAACTATGCTTCCATAAAGCCTTGAAGACAACTTTTTGTAGATACTGTAGTTGATTTGTCAATCTCCCACTTTTCTTAGTATTTATATACTCTGGTGGTGGAGGGTTAGTAATAGCTACTAATGTCTACAAGTACATGTCCTTTTTCTATGTAAATACTAGAAGTTGTTTCATTATGTATGCCTTAGTTTTGGATGATTTAGGTTATTTCAATCTTTCACAGTATTTCTGCTTTTCTAAGACACAAATTGACGTCTTAGCAGGAAAAGTCTGTAAGTTTCTTTCAAGTTCATGATAAAGGATGCAACTCAGCAAGTGCCATGTGGAAGTGGACAGAGGCCAGGGGGCACAGAAGTTCCATGCCCTCTCCCGTTGGACACCATCTCAGCACCTCCACGTGCTCAGCACCCCGGGAGCATTCTTTGATACTGTCACTCTGAACTGCGTGACTGCAAGGTCTCGACTGGTGGTCAGTCCAACCTACCAGAGACATGCTGATGATGTTAGTGTTCAATTAGCAACACATAAACCAGACATGAATCTCAAGCCACCCTGCCCTTTCAATGCCTCCTCCAACTTGCTGAACTGATTTCTGTATTATCATTATCTAGACAATGGAACATGCAGCAGTCACATAGCTTTTTAATTTAATTTTAACCTTTATTGTTGAAAGTATTACATGTCCCCCACTTTCCCCCCATTGACCCATTCTAGCCCTCCCCTAGGCCTTCACCACATGCCTTTTTAGTGGCAATTGCTTCATAAATGTACAAAGCTATGAGTACCATAATGTGAACTAGAAACTACTCAATGCTGAGCCTCTCAACCCTAGATGTTTACATCCTACTTCCAATTTGTGTGTTTACATCCTCACAAACTGTGTGATGAAGCTATTCATAGTCCTACTCAAAATGTGATCTGTGGACTAATGCCAATCCAGTTTGCAAACTTTCAAGACAATAAGTAGGTATTTAAGAGAAAGCACTTAGAAACTTTTATAGAAATTTGAAAGAGCAATTTTGTATTGTTAAAGAATTAGGCCTTATATTTCCTGTTTTAAAGTTTCGTTTTTCTAGTAATTGTTTTTATTGCATGCTATAAAAGAATCAGTCCCCTTCCCCCCCCAAAAAAGAATCAGTCCCTGACAGATTAGAAGTTTTAAAATCTCTAAGTCTGTAAAATGGCCCTTCACCTGGGTTTGAGAGTTGGCTTCTATAACTCTTCTATAACTAACATACAGGGGTATGGATGTGTTAGTGTATTAAGTTTCCCATTGCTGCCATAACAAATTACCACCGATTTAGCATTTAGAAACAACACAAATTTACTAATCTCACACTTCTGGAGATCAGAAGTCCCATTAAGCTTATCTGGTTTCTCTGCTCAGAGCCCCACAAAACCAAAATCAAGGTGTTAGCCAGCTATGATCAGGAGGCTTTGGAAAGAAATCAGCTACAAATGCATTCTAATATTAGCAAAATCCAGTCCTTTAGCCGGTAGGACTAAGATTCCCCTTCCTGGCTGGCTGTCAGCTAAGAGCCACCCTCAGCTAAAGGTTTCTCTCTAGTCTTAACACATGCATTCCCACATCTCAGCAGCACAAGGGTGCACTGAATTCTCATGCTTGGAATTTCTCAACTACCCGCTTCCGCAGCATCTTTCTTGCCTCCAGCTGGGGACCGTTCTTTGCTTTTAAGGGCTTATGTGATTAGACGGGGTCTTGCTATGGACTTAATATTTGTACAACACCCCTCCCCCCCTGCCACCACACACAATTCTTATGTTGAAACCCAATGCCCAACGTGATAGTATTTGGAGGTGGGGCTTTTGGGAGCTGATAGATCATGAGTGGAACCCTCGTGATTAGGATTCGTGCTCTAAGCGACTCCAGAGAGCTCCCTCGCCCCTTCTACCACATGAGGACAGTAAGAAGGCATTGTCTATGAACCAGGAAGTAGGCTTACTAGACACTGAATTGCTGGTGCCTTGATCTTAGATTTCTGAGCCTTCAGAACTGTGAGAAACAAACTTCTGTTGTCTATGGTGTTTTGGTACAGAAGCCCAGAGACGAACACAGGCCTACGGGGATAATACAAGATAATTCCATTTTAAGGTCCACAGCTTTAATCACATCTGCAAAGTCCCTTTGCCATGTAATATAACACATGCACAGGTTCCAGGGATTAGGGTGTGGACCTCCGTGAAGGAGCCTTATTTTGCCTACCATAGATAGAGTATAGCAAGCATGTCAAACTCAAAGGCTAACACGGGCCAAATAAACAAGGGTTAAGTTTATGTGGGCCGCAACAAAACAAAAGCTTCAATTTCCATAGAAATGTAGGTTTATTTCGATAAAGCCATGCTGAATACAAAGGGCTGAAATAAATGAGTAATCATTAACATAAAATAGAACATTTTAATAAAAATACTTTTTCTTGAACATTAACTTACCAGACACTGAATAACTCCACGTATTAATAAGTGTAACACAAATAAACCTATTTTTCTTGTTTTTCCGAAAGCGAAATATTTCCTGTCGTGCACACCAAACGAGTCAGTACAAGACTGACGTGGCAATCGGTGCTAAAGTATTCGCTGCTAGTATTAATGGAGAGAAATGGTGCGCCTGCACATAAGACGCATAAGAGAAATGAATGCAATGCGATTATAGTAATCAGTCACTAGCAAACGTTGTAGTTCGTTATTAATAATTATGTGTTAACAGGTATTGTAAAAATTAAATTACGAAATTTTTATTAAAACGTTTCTTACATACCGTTATATTGGCTAGGCTGCAAAAATACTTGTTGTCGGCCACATGCGGCCCGTGGGCTGCGAGTTTGACATGGCTGGAGTATGGTTAAGTCCAAGAGTCCTCATGCTATTTTACAAATTGAGCATAGCCTAAGTGTACAGTGATGTCCTAGGCCTTCACATTCATTCACCAATCACCCAGAGCAACTTCCAGTCCTGCAAGCTCCATTCACGGTAAGTGCCCTATACAGGTGTATAAGTTTTTAATCTTTATACCATACTTTTACTGTACCTTTTCTATGTTTAGATACACAAATAGTGGCCATTGTGTTACAACTGCCCACAGTATTCAACACCAATATGTTGTACAGGTTGGTAGCATAGGAGCAATAGGCTGTACCATGGTAGGTGTAGGTGGGTGTAAGCGCACTCTGATGGTGGCACGACAAAATCCCCCAAGGACACATTTCTCAGAATGTATCCTGTCATTAAGCAACCCATGACTGTATTATGCAAGAATAGATAACTAAAACACTAATATCACCAACAGCATGTATTATATCCTCTCCGAAATACCAAGCATTGTTTTTAATGCCTGACTAGATCCCGACTAATACAAACGCCAATCTTTTCTGAACTAATCATTCATTGTCTGGCATTTCTTGGAATGAATTTTTTAAAAAAGAAAATTTTAAATTAAAAGCTAAAGGCTTAGACTTTTAATTATACCTTTATCACAATTTCAAACAGTTCAGTGGTTCCATTTAGTCTTTAATATGGTAGGGAAGATAGGTAGGTAGGTAAATACATGATCAACTTGGACAGATAATGATATTCGTGTAGATGGTTTGAGTATATATTTTATATGTTCTCTTGAATAATTTTCTCTCCCCTCTCCCCCATTAAATAATTCCAGAGAATGAGAAAGGAGTTAAGGAAACAGAGGTACACTGAAATTTAGAAACTTGCTCAAACTCATATAGCTAGTAAGCAGTGGAGCCAAGATTCAAGCCAGATGGTCGACTTTCAAATTCTGTGCTCATAATCACTATGCTATGTATGATACCTCTCACAGTATGTATATCTGATCATACTTTATGACCATCCAAATAAACAGAAGTTCTCAAATTCATCACTACTACATTCATAGTCTTCTGCTTGGCTGATATTTCCTTCCATGGTATATATACTGTTAATATCACATAGTATTAACACTATTAATAGTTATCACTGTTCTATGCAGTGAAAAAAGATTATATACACACACATAGAGACACAAAGTGTTATCTTTGGAGAAGGTATGAGATGGCACACATAAACAGAATTCAAGTGAAATATCCATAGGCAGCTTAATAATATGCAAGGTAATGTCCTGCCTCAGTACATGATCTATAAATCAGTTCCTAGAGGTGTTTGGTGGAATAATAAACACAATACCTTCCTTCTACTGTGCTTACTTAAAAAAGAAAACATTAATCCATTATTTATTAACATTATCCAGATTTTTATTAACTTAAATTGACATTGTTAATTTAGTATGACAAGTCCTTAGTATATATGCCTTTATTTGGTGAAAACCTACAGGTTCTTCTCAAAACCACAGGATCATGAAGACTTGCAGTTATCAGTGTTTTGTAACAATTAAGATAATGTTCAAATAATTAAGTTACTTCACTGAAATATTTAAAAGAATATTCTGAGGAGTGTTTGAAAGCTCTGTTTATAAATAGTGATTGATATACTTAGTTAGGTATTTGGTGTTGAAGATAAACACTTCTTATATAAAACACTGTTTTAATACAGTGATGGCGAACCTTTTGAGCTCGGCATGTCAGCATTTTGAAAAACCCTAACTTAACTCTGGTGCCGTGTCACATATAGAAATTTTTTGATATTTGCAACCATAGTAAAACAAAGATTTATATTTTTGATATTTATTTTATATATTTAAATGCCATTTAACAAAGAAAAATCAACCAAAAAAATGAGTTCGCGTGTCAGAGGTTTGCCATCACTGTTTTAATACATTGCTCTACTAATAAGGCTAGTTATTAGATATAATATTTCTAACACTAAAGAATAAAGCTTTATCTTCAGATTTATTTTATTCATAGGACTCATATTAATGAAGAACGTTGTATCCAACAAAAATAAACTGGCATATTGCAAATGGCATCCTGTAGAAGTGAAAAAGGAGGCTGCAACAAAAGAAACTAGATAACTGCATTACACATTCTTTATACAAACAGCCCATTCTCAATAGAATTAAATGCAGAACAAATGCTTTTAAAAGTTTTTATGCCTAGATGGCAATTATAGTCTTCACACATGAATGAGAAAAGGAACAATAATAACACAGAACACAGTATTTTTAATGATTATAGCACATTTAAAACCTTCAGCCATCTACTGGATTCTCAGATCAGATCGGCAACTGAAATTTCACATCCACCTGGGCTTGTTTGGCTAAGTTCACTATTTCAGAGAGCTTTACAACCTGAAAGAAAAAACAACAACAACCATCTTTGTCTCTATTTTCACTAAAACATAAAAATAAGAACTATTGGTCAATGTGAAACTGATGCACATTCAATCTTTTTCATTTGAAATGTGAGCTATTCTGACATCAATCACTTCACACTCTTATAAGCATTTGCCATTCAAATCTAACACTCTTAATAACCCACACTTCAATACTTTCAATAATATCTATAAAATTAGAAAAGTATTGAATATATGTATATATGTATATACCTGCTTTTATTGCCTACACAATGCAAATCACATATAAATAAGTTTGCCTTTTTTTTTTCTAAAGTATACAATCTTAACAATAATGGATAGGAATTTGGTTCTAGAAGTTAGTATTTTATTGTTGGTACCATACAAAATAGACAATTAATGTCTAAAACCAAATAATAAATTCAGCTTCTCTCCTCTCCTATAGAGTAGATAAGAGGTTTTAGTTAGCCACTTTGGTTTCAAATTCCATCTCTAATGCTTATGATCCTGAATACGTTAATTTATCTAGCTTCTGTTCCCTCATCTATAAAAATGAGATTATATCACCAAACTCATATTAAATAAGATAATATTTGAAGAAAAAAACTTAGCATGGCAAGCACAATAAATACTTGATAAATGGTAGCAGCTGCCAATATCATTACATTATTATTAATATTGTCATGACTTCCATAATCTCTTAGTCAGTAGAAAACATAGCAGTCACAAACTAAACCAACTGTTTTATCTTTCATGGTCTATCTGAGTCTTCTCCTTTCTTTCCATGTCCACAAAGCTTTTCTTAATTCAGGCTCTCACTGAAAACAAGCATATTTTCAGAGACAAGTTATAACCTATCCATAACCTTCACCTCACATCACATCTAATTATTGCCCTAGACAGACTCCTCCTATCCTTCACTTTTCCATTCAACAGTTTATACCACATCTCAAAGTCAAAATAGGCTTTCTCCCTGCCATTCCCATGCTCAAAATCTTAATTTAAACTCAGGATTGAGTATAAGACCCTCTTGTCTCTAAACTGCAGTTGAATTTCGTTTATTAATAGGTACTTTCCTAGAGTATGTCCCAAAGAAAAACAGAACACTTTATTATTCTTATGAAATGATATTATATTAACGCAGCAAATCTCAAAAGCCTATTACTGATTAAACCATACAGCTCTTCCACGAATTGTCTTTAAATATAGGTGGGAAAGTTCTCATTTAGGAACATCTCTATATCTACTATGGACTGTGCACTAAAATATAATGTTAAGTAAAATAAATGAGGTAAAATATACGTAATAATCAGATAATGAGGGAAAGTGGACAGATATATGTGTGTGCATACACACATACATATGTGTTATACACACACAATTTGCTTAAAAAATGAACCAAAATTCTTTTTTTTTTTTAAAGCTGGTTACCTATGGGGAAGAAACAGATACAGGTATAAAAGTTAGATTCTCTGAATATACTTTGTTTTATAGTTATGACTTTGGAACCATGTAAATACTTATATAATACAAAACAAAAATTGGTTTTTTTTAAGAGCAATTTCTTAAAAAAATTAAATGATACTAATTATATACCAAGCTGGGATAAAACAGAGCTATTTTACATGAATTTTAAAATCCAGTAAGTTATGAAAAATACTTCAAAGGACAGAAAGAACTGCACATACAAATCTTAAATTGCTTTCAGTAATCATATTGTTGGTATTATTACTGTACAATTATGTCTGTTTTGAGGGACAAAGTAAATAAATATTTATATGTATGTCAATATGACATGGGAGAGATAAGAAAAGACCTGTACTACTGGATTTGCACTGGAAATATCAGTATGTACTCATGTATTTATCTCTTTAAAAAATACATATTTTCCTAGATTTACCATTTTAAAAGCCTGGAAACAACGAACAACCCTGTAGCTGTGAGTACCCTTGTGATCTCTAAAAACCATTTTGCTGATTTCAGATCTTAAGCAAAAAATGTAAAGATGAGCCTAGGACATCTTATCAAACCAGAAAGTATATCACAGGGCATGTGAGAAAGACTCAGGAGCCAACTTGCTCCCTGCTCCCCCAAATCAAATACATGTATGATCAAGCCTACAGACCAACACTACCAGTTTACAGGAAATATAGGGGTAGAGGACACCCCAGGGATTAGAATCATTAATATTCTGACTACGGGAAACACTGTAAGATCATCAACTTGTCTTTTCAAAAATAAACTCCAGGAAAATAAACAAAAGTGAACCTATAGGTTAACAGAAACTTAGTAACATATTAACCAACTGCAATGCATAGAATTACTGTGATCCTAATACTAATGAAGAACCTAGAAAAATATATTTCAGCCCTAACCGGTGGATAGTGTCGGCTTGCGGACTGAAGGGTCCCAGGTTCGATTCTGGTCAACGGCATGTACCTTAGTTGCGGGCACATCCCCAGTAGGGAGTGTGCAGGAAGCAGCTGATCGATGTTTCTCTCTCATCGATGTTTCTAACTCTCTATCCCTCTCCCTTCCTCTCTGTAATAAATCAATAAAATATATTAAAAAAACATATATATATATATTTCAGAGAATCCCAAAAATGTCAACACTGACTATATTCTTTTTTATAAAATAGAAACATAATATTACTATCCCACCTGAAACAAATAATTTCTTTATATCATTATCAATAGTATCATTACTTTTATCTTTTATAGATACATGATGACATGTATGAAATGATATAATAATGTCTGGGGTTTGCTTCAAAATAATCACGGGCAAGGAAGGAAGTAGGTAACAATACAAATGAAATAATATTGGTGATAATTAAGATGGGTGATAGGTATAATCACATCTAAATAAATGAAAACCACATCTAAATAAGTTTGTTTTTTAAATACAAAATTTCAACTTACAATATTGGGATAGGAGTTTGGGTCTAAGAGATAGTACTTTACTTTCTATCACTAAGTGACAGAAAGTAAATACTACTATTTATCTGAAACACATTTTTAGTGATATTAGCTGGTTTGTTTGAGAATCTAAATGTTTACATTAGGTAGGAAGTTAGACACAAGTGGCTGGGGTGAGGCCTGCCTTAGGGTTCTGAACAGGGACGGGCCAACACTGCCTTCAGACCTCCTCTCTATGGGTGAACCCAGCCAGCAGTCCACCGGTGGGCAGGTTCAGAACCAGCCAGTTCTTGGCCCAAGATCAGAGGAAAACAACATGACTTCAATGCCAATGCAACCTTACCAGGGCCCTGGATAATTATAATAAAATTTGCATTGTGGTTTTTGACAACGCCCCCGGGGGGTTTCTGTATGCATTATGGGTAAGGGCATGTGCAGAAGAAATATAGTTATATAACCCGTTTCTGTCAATCATCCCTGAATGCAAATGAGTCTCCACCCAGAAAATCCCTCATTTAAACCCAGGCGTTCGGGGCTATTATCTCTCCTGGATGGATGGCCTGCTCCTCGCTTGGAATGTATCTTCAATAAACCCCACTTTGCTTTACTTTCATTTTTGTTGACCTTAAAATCTTTTCATTGTCAATGAGAATCCAGGAACCAGCCAATAACCCCAATCGGGAACATGTATACATCCTTTATACACTTTGCAAACATAGCCTGTTTACCATTTTAGCAGCTTCATCCAAGTCATCACAAGCAAGAATTTTAAGTCCACTGTCAGTTATCAGTGCCTTAGCATCATCCACTCGTGTACCTGAAAATGAGATATGCAAATATAAAGATGTTTTAAATATTGACACAAAATCATACACAAGTCATTTCATCATAAGAATATTTCATTATTTAATATAATACATGCTCTAAAGCAAGAAAATACTGTAAAAACCTAGTTACCTTGTGAAGTACCATATCAATGGCAATTTAGAATTCACGACAAAGCACAACAAATAATGTATCAGATCATACGAACCAAAACTGTGAGCAATTTTGCCCCAATGTTAGAAATTTTTTCATACCATGTTTTAAAAATTTCCAATTACATAATACTTTTGTGGACAAAAAGGGGCCACATGCTAACATGACTAGCTCAGGGAAGGCCTGCGTGATGGCCTTGCAAACTCAGAGACCTAAAGTAACTACAAAGCATGGTCTAAAATTAACACTTTTAAAAAATGAAAGCAATTTATGGTGTGTAGTCATGTCTTAAGGCAGTATTTTTCCTTAACAAAGGTTAATCTTCACCTTAACTAAGCCTGTCCATTTATCTTTTGGCATCTAGGATACTATGCCTTTGCAAAAACAAAGTAATTTCCCTTTTTCAGAGCCCTCAAAGTACAGAGGTGAGACCACAAATACCTTCATTATCATTGTTATCATTATCATGTTAATTGTTGACTGTTAACTATCCTGCACTCATCTAAGTGTGTGTCTATCATTTTACTCTTTATCCAATCCTAGAGGTTTCCCTGCTTTGCTTTCTCCTGCCTCCCTAATCTATCACCAATGGATTTCACAATAACCCACTTACATCAATCACCTCCTTTATTGTAATGTATAAAATAAGGTGCAAAACTGCCATTCTCCTGAGCATTAACTCAATCCATTGAGATTCTGCTTCCCAGCATTTGACAGTTTGGCTCAAATAAACTCACAAAAATTCTTCACAGGTTTGAATGTTTCTTATATTAACACTTTCATTTAAAAGATACAGCTATTTGAAAACTGTATTTAAAAGAACTAAACTCCTTGGAATTGTGGTAGGCAGTTCGAGAGACATGAGCAGAGCAAGGACAATGGGCCTGGTACAGAAGGTCACCAGGAAGGAAAGCCCCAGGTGCAAAGGACAATTGTAGGGTGGGACCTTACCCCCAGAGGACCTTTCCTCCCTTAGCATATCAATGGTCATGCAGTTTGGACACACTGACCTTTCCTCCCTAGAAAATATCGAGGCTTCAGTTGTATTTCAGCTCCAAGCCCAGAAAAGCAGCAAAACCAGACAAGCTAATCTCAGGACCAGCTGCACTGGGTAATGACTCCTGCCCTGTCACCGACCAATCTATCAGTGGAGATCCCAACCCTGAAAGAGCAACCTGGAAAAGTGCTAAATATCCATTGAAATCTTCCCCTGGGACCGCCTCTAAAATCACCAACCTTAACAATTCTTAAGATAGAGGACCCAGAGCACTCTCCCTCCCAGGAGCATGCCTGCACCTTTCCCTTCCCCCTCACCCAAGCACCTTACCATTTGCTTCCTCACTCCCAAGCTCTAAGAGCCCTTCCTTTATTTACCTCTATAACTCATTTCCTCAGCTCATTTCTTCTACAAATATTACTTCTATCTCTGTGATTTTATAAATAAACTAGAGGCCCGGTGCACAAAAATTTGTGCACTCAGGGGGGAATGGGGGGCCCCTCAGCCTGGCCTGTGCCCTCTCGCAGTCTGGGACCCCTCAGGGGATGACCACCTGCTGGCTTAGGCCCGCTCCCCAGGGGATTTGGCCTAAGATGGCAATCAGACATCCCTCTGGCAGCCCGGCAGCCCTTGGGGGATGCCCACTTGCCAGCAGGGAGCAGACCTAAGCTGCAGTCGGACATCCTTAGCGCTGCTGAGGAGGCAGGAGAGGATCCCACCACCACCACTGTACTGGCAGCCATCAGCCTGGCTTGTGGCTGAGCAGAGCTCCTCCCATGTGAGAGCGCCCTGATCACCAGGGGGCAGCTCCTGCATTGAACGTCTGCCCCCTGGTGGTGAGTGTGTGTCATAGTGACCAGTCATTCCCAGTCCTTCTGCTGTTAGGGTCAGTTTGCATATTACCCTTTTACTATATAGGACAGAGGCCTGGTGCATGGGTGGGGGCCGGCTGGTTTGCCCTGAATGGTGCCCCGGATCAGGGTGGGGGTCTCGCTTGGGTGCCTGGCCAGCCTGGGTGGGGCCTGATGGCTGTTTGCAGCTGGTCACACCCCCTTCAGGGTGGGGGTCCCCATTGGGGTGCCTGGCCAGTCTGGGTGAGGGGCTGAGGGCTGTTTTCAGGCTGGCGGGTGACTGAAGCTCCCAACCTCTCCTTTTTTTCTTTTTTTTTTTAATTCTGGGATTTATTTACCTTCTATGGCTGTCACTGGAACTGAGAGCCAGCTTTAGCTCTGAGGCTCAGCTCCAGCTCTGAGACCTCGGCTGCTGAAAGCAGGTATCTGGGTTTGTTTGGGTTCTATAATTGTAACACTGTTGCGGTCCTGCTAGCTCCAGCTCTGACGGCTGAAAGCAGGTTTCTGGGGTTTATTTACCTTCTATAATTGCAACATTGTTTCTTAGACTGCAGCTCAGAGGCTGGCAGCGGCAGGCGGGGAACCTTGGCTTCCTCCTTCACTGGAGAAAGCAAGCCTCCTGTTCGCTTCAGCTGCCTGGCTGCCGGCCGCCATCTTGGTTGGCAGTTAATTTGCATATCTCGCTGATTAGCCAATGGGAAGGGTAGCGAAGTTACGGTTAATTACCATGTTTCTCTATTATTAGATAGGATGTTCTCTTATAGCTTGAGTCTTGGCTCTGAATTCTTTCCCAGCCAGAACTCAAGTATGGAGGTTGCTGAACTCAGGTCTGGTCCAACTGTCACCTGGTGCTATTCCCACCACCTACAGTAGAATCATGAACTTTTAAGCAAGTAGCATTCATATAACAATTGCAAGATATCTGTTACACTCACCTTGTAACCGTACCACAATAGGTATTTTAATTTCCAAATCCTTTACTGCCATGACTATACCCTGTGCAATAACATCACACCTCATGATTCCTCCAAAAATGTTGACCAGAATAGCCAGTACCTGTGAACAGAATGTTTTTGGTTGATTGAAATTTTAAAGAAATGAGTATGTGTAATTCCTTCCCAAGAAAATATTAGTATTTATACCTTATGATGAAATTTAATTCCATGGAACCATTTTCAGACAAAACAGCCATCACTGAAGTCTGTGCAGTCCACCACATACCAGAACTTATTTTCCCCTCTTCGGGTAATTCCAACACCTGGCTCATATTCTCTTCTCTTCTGTCTCATATGAATAAGACCTGATTCCTTTACTTGTTTCCTATTAAACACAGCCATTCACCAACATGATATCCCAGATCATGTTGTAAGACAATGTCACATACAAGAGCTCCAACTTATGTTCATTGACTATCATCTCTTCTTCACTTAGCCCCACCAATTCAACAAACTCTTCACACAAACCAGGCCCTCAAAAATCACTGAATTTCTGTATGCCCACTACTAGCTACACATCACATCCAAACCTCTGTTTGGGTCAGTATTTTTTCATCATCACACCAATAATCTGAACCATTGTTCTATCACGTACAAAAAAATGGTTTTCACTTTTTATTTTTATTTTTTAAAAATATATTTTATTGATTTTTTACAGAGAGGAAGGGAGAGGGATAGAGAGTTAGAAACATCGATGAGAGAGAAACATCGATCAGCCGCCTCCTGCACATCTCCTACTGGGGATGTGCCCGCAACCAAGGTACATGCCCTTGATTGGGACCCTTCAGTCCGCAGGCCGATGCTCTATCCACTGAGCCAAACCGGTTTCGGCATCACTTTTTATTTTTTAAAAAAATATTTTTATTGATTTCAGAGAGGGAGGGAAGAAGAGAGGGAGGGAGAAAGAGAGAGAGAAAGAGAGAGAGAGAAACATCAATGATGAGAGAGAATCATTGATTGGCTGTCTCCTGCCTCCTGCACACCTGACACTGGGGATCCAGCCGGTAACCGGGCAGGGAAGTGAACCGTGACCTCCTGGTTCATAGGATTATGCTCAACCACTGGGCCACACTGGCCAGGCTACTTTTCATTTTTAATGCACTTTACTTTGGTGTAGTTCATTCACCTACACCAGAGTTCCTCAGCCAGTGCAATATAAATAGCTTATAGACACCAAGATATTGTTCCCTCAACCCTTAGGGAAGCTAGGAAGGTTCTAGGACAGCTGTCACCTCTGGGCCAGTGGCCTCTGACCACAAGCAACCTTCTCCATATACCTTCTAGGCCCCACTGAAATACGTCTGTGAATGCCATGACATGAAAAAGGTTCAGACACACTGAGCTATACTACACATTCCTCATATTTACCACTATTATTTCTAGAAATTATAATGGACTAGAATTCATAGTGGACTCTGGCACCTTCTTAGCTCTCTTCCTCCCACCTCATTCTAGATAGCTACAATATGCACCACAGGGCATCATCTGACATCCTAGCCTTAAAGTTACTGTTATCTCCAGTCCATTTCAACTAATTCTTACCAAGGACAAACCCTTGACCAGAAAGAGAATCTCTACAATATCAAATGTGTAAATCCCACTTTCTGTCCAGCCTCCTCTTTCACTTCTAATTCCTTTTATCACTAACTCTATCAAACCCAATCTTTTCCTCTTAAAGCCTCTGGTCCCTAAACCCCTTTCTAATCACTGGATGTATCAGCTCTCTACCAACATGACTTTCTTCACTATAGCAAGGGAGGGGGGGTGGGGAAACCTTTTTTCTGCCAAGGGCCATCTGGATATTTATAACATCATTCGAGGGCCATACAAAATTATCAACTTAAAAATTAGCCTGCTGCTAACCGGTTTGGCTCAGTGGATAGAGTGTCAGCCTGCGGACTGAAAGGTCCCAGGTTCGATACCGGTCAAGGGCATGTACCTTGGTTGCGGGCACATCCCCAGTAGGGAGTGTGCAGGAGGCAGCTGATCGATGTTTCTCTCTCATCAATGTTTCTAACTCTCTATCCCTCTCCCTTCCTCTCTGTAAAAAATCAATAAAATATATTTAAAAAAAAATTAGCCTGCTATATTTGGTCAGACATTTAATTAACTCACCCCTATGCCTTGGCAGGGCCAAACCAAATAATTTTGCAGGCCTTATACGGTCCTCGGGCCAGACGTTACCCACTCCTGCTAGAGAGCCTGGAACCTATGGCTGAGCAATTCAATGATAATGCCATGTGCATGCTGAATTCTCTCATACCAAGTCTAACTCCACTACCCCAATTCAATTAATGCATTCTTGGATGTTTCTATCCTATTAATTTATCCATTCCAACTTTAAAGGAAAGCAAAACAGCAAAAACAAACAAAAAAACCATCCTGTAACACTAGCATAAACAAAGAGCAGTATAATAATGATTCATCAGCATTTCTTTCCTTAATGATCTGCCTCATACCTTTCACTCTCTTCATGAGCCTCCTTTCTCCAATACACATCTCCATGCAGCTAAATATAGCTCATCTTCTTAGTCTCCCAAACAAGCAAGCAAACATATACTACACAGCTCTCTTCAACCCTACTTCCATTCAACTGTTAGCACTGTGTCCTTCTGTGCCTTCATAAAAAAGGCCCTGAAAAAGTATCTCAACTCAATCCATTACAGCCTGACGGGAAGCTGGTCCCCTCTCCTCTATGATTCTTACTAAGGTTCCTAATCATTTCATTTAGTACTTAGTGTACTTGATTGCTCCTACATCTGACACTGTCGCCCATCCACTTAATTCTCAAAACTCTTCATCCTGTCCTTTAATGTCACCACTCTCACCTGATCTGCAACTATCTCTGTCAGTTTGTTCTCTCTCTCTTATTATTCTACTAGTGGCCTGGTGCTCGAAATTCGTGCACGGGGGGGGGGGCCCTCAGCCCAGCCTGCACCCTCTCCAATAGGGGACCCCTTGGGGGACATCCTTCTCGCAATCTGGGAACACTGGCTCCTAACCGCTCACCTGCCTGCTTGCATGATCACCCCTAACTGCCTCTGCCTGCCTGCCTGATTGCTCTTAACCCCTCTGCGTGCCTCTGCCTCCAGGCCTCTCTCTGGGCCTGATCTGCAGCCTACTTGACAGCTGCTGATCAGGCCCTGCCTCTCTCTCTCTCTCTCTCCAGGCCTCGCGAGCAGCCGCTGTGGCTGCTGATTAGGCCCTGCCTCTCTCTCCAGGCCTCTCTTCGGGCTTGATCCGCAGCCGCCAAGGCAGTGGCGAGGTTGTTAGGCCTCCACCCGGCTAACAACCTCGCTGCACCCACCTCGCTTCCCCTGTCTGGTGACAGGTCGTCTGGTCGTTTAGGACATGATGGCCCCTGGTCTTTTATAATGTAGACTAGGGGCCCAGTGCATGCATTTGTGCACCTTGAAAGGAACTGTGGGCCGCGAGGCTGCGGTGGGCACAGGGGCAGGTTTTGGCCCATCCTCCATGCCCCTGCCCGGCCCCTGCCGCTGCGACCCCAGGTCCCCTCTCTGCCAGCAGCCCTGTTCCTGTCACCTCTGCTCCCATGCGCTGACAGTGCCAGCCCCACTTGCACCCGCTGATGGCACGGAGCGATTGGGGCTGGTGTCAGCAGCGGGTCTGAGTGGGGCTGGCATGTCGGTGGGTGTGAGCAGCAACCTCTGCCCCGATTACCCCTCAGGAGCAGGGGGAGGTGGAGAAGCCTTCACGGGCGACTGGGGCTGGCAGCCGCCGCTCGCACCCACTGGCGGCGCCGGGCACCGGCAGTGGGTGCAAGCAGCAGCTCCGGCTGTGCGGGACTGGTGCTGGCAGTGGGTGCGAGTGGCAGCTCTGGTGCCAGCAGCGGGTGTGAGTGGGGCCGTCTCCGGCAGTGGGTGTGAGAGGCGACTGCTGGCTCTGATCACCCCTCAGGAGTAGGGGGAGGTGGAGAAGCCCTGAGGGACGATCAGGGCCGGCAGCTGCCACTCGCACCTGCTGACAACCGTGCTAAGCAATCAGGGCCAGCGCTGGGTACTGGCAGCGGCTCCAGCGCCGGCAGCGGGTGCAAGCGCCAGGCGGGACCGTGGCGCACGGGAGCAAAGAATTTTCAGTAACTACCAGAGGCTCGCCTGATGACAACGACCAGCGCTCCGCCTTGGTCTGGTGCTCTCGCTGACCTGCTCCACCATCCTGCTGCGGCCAGCACCTGCCATGTTCCATGCGCGCCCCCTTGTGGTCAGCGCATGTCATAGCGACTGGTTGTTCGGCTGTTCTGCTGTTTGGTCTATTTGATTATTAGGGTTTTATATATGTAGATTTTATCGCTCCTTCTTTATTCAATCCTTCAACATGGAGGAGAGGGGTAGGTGAAGAGCTAGTTCCATTCTTGGTTTCCTCATCTCACTCATTTGAGTCATCTCACCAACTCCTAACACTTCAACTTTTCTCAATATACTGAGGACTCTCAAATATATATCTAACCATTATACGAAATATATCTTTATAACCATAAACTAGATACAGTCCCCACAGTGCAAAATTAACACATTCAGAAATACATATTTCTCTATTTTGCCTCTTGATGGCACAAAGGACATCATCACCACCCGATGATTGTCCCCAGCCAAAAGTCCTAACCAACCCCTGGTTGGTTAATCCAACTAAGCTCTCTCAATGCCACCCCCCAGCGACCCAAAAAAGAAGAGAAATGAATTTAATGATTGTATCTCAGAAATGCCTCTAAATATCTTTGCTTTATTCTTCCTGACACTACCTTTGCCAGGACCTCTTCGTCTTTTTTAACAATGAGGTATAACAACCAAATTGATCTATCCTACCAGTGCCTCCGTGCTCTACATTTCACACTCTACTAGCAAAGTTACCCTTTTTTAGAAAATAAAAAGATAAGGAACTATATATATATATATAGTTCCTGGAATAGAGGGGTTAAATTCCAAACTCCTTAACAATAGATACAGGGGTTTTCACAATATGGACTCAACATTATCTCTTATCATTCGCTTCAAAAATGTTATTCTTATACATAAGCATCTTATTCCATGAACATAGTGGCTGTCTCTATACTCCATGCCTTTAAATAAACTTATTCAATTCTCAAGATAGCTCAAGGTATCATCCATTCAGTGGCCATTGTGATTCTCACAGTTATTGGTTGTCTTGTATTCTTCCACAGCACTGCATTCAGTTTATCACCCCAGTCAGACTATACTAGTAAATGCCTTGAGAGGAGGGACGATGTATTCCCAAATCCAAGCACAGTGTCCAATACAAAGAGTTATAATATGTATACAGCTACTTCAATGCTATCCACATTGTCTCCCTGGGCTACGGGACTGTTTCCAACTCCAATGCTCTTAATGTCAGTCCCTAACACTGGAATTCCTTATATGCATTTATCCATACTTGTACCTAGGCCCTAAAAGCCACGCTTAAAAATATAACAAAAATTCCAGTTCACCTTCAAAAGGACTCAACAGTTAGATAATTACATAATACTCTTTTAGAGTATATGCCAAAAGAAGCTATACAAATATAGTTCCAATAAAATTTGTTTACTTTTAAAAAAATATTATTCAACAGGAGAATAAAGCAATTTGTGTTTCATTTTAGTTTAATTCTCTTTATGAAATTGAAGATGGCAAATAAGTCTATAAGCTCAAAGTCAAAGAGCAGTAAAATAATTTTTCAAACAATTCTAGAGTCTAAAACAATAAAAATGTACACTGTCAACATCATCAATAAGTATTTATAAATGACCTATACATGTACTGTGTATTATGCCAACCACTGCCAGAGGCAACAATGAGTAAGATATGATCCCTATCAATGAGGAATTCTCATTCTTAATTCAATAAGACTAGTTCCAGGGAGGCCATTATCTTATTTTTCCATAAGCCTTAAAACCCACATTGGCCACATAGTAGCTATACTGCTTAAAAAGTATCTGGTGACTGATAATATGTATGTCTTTTAGATAATGATGCTTCACATCCCTTGTATATTGATAATCACTTATAAATTCATAAGTCTACATTATGGCATATCTGCATATGATAGATTATGCAAACATTAAAATAGGTGGTTTAGAAGAGTACCTTAGTAAATGCAAAAAGTACTCATAATATGTCAGCAAAAATAAAAGACTCAAAATATGTACATTAAAAGACATATACATGAATGGCTGAACTATGTAACTTATCTACAATAAAAAAAGGGTAATATGCTAGACTGAATATCTTCCGGATGTAATTCTGGACTTCCTTCCTGATGAAGCCGGGGCCGGAGGGAAGCCAGCCCGGGTCCCGGGTGCCTGCGGGTGGCCGGAGGAGGGAAGCAGCCAGCAGCAGGAGGAGGGAAGCCTGGGTCCCAGGTGCCAGAAGGAAGCTGGTGCCAGCAACCAGGGGAAGGAGGCCTACTCTCGCACGAATTTTCGTGCATCGGGCCTCTAGTATCTTAATAAGTAGTATGTGTGAGTGTGTGTATGTGAAATCATTAAAAAGTCTTAAAGAAAATAGATCAAATCAATAGTAACAAAAGTTATCTCTGGATAAAATTAAAGATTATTTTTTATTTTCATCTTTTTAGCTTTACAGACTTACCAGATTTCTGGGCTTCTGCGGTCAACTAACATCTTCATTTTTCATAGTCATGTGCTCCCATATCAAATCATACCATTTAAAATATTGTCTAACATAATGTAACATTTCTTCATCTTGTTTTCTAAATCACTATGTGGAACTTTATCTTTTTCTGTAGTTAACTGTTATTGCATTGTTTTCAAACAATGGAAGACTTTTAAATTTTAATGTTCAACTACTGTAATAATCACAACTGCTAATTAATCAAGTTACTTCTCACCATTCAAATTCTAAAACATAAGCCCTGCCCTTACCTTTTTATCTGAAGTGATAAGCTTAAATGCTTCTGTTACTTGATGGACTGTGGCACCACCACCAACATCAAGAAAGTTGGCTGGAGTCCCTCCATGAAGTTTTATTATATCCATTGTGGCCATAGCCAAACCAGCACCGTTTACTATCAAGAGGGGAAAATGATTTGTATAAGCAACAAACACAAAGAAAATAAATTAAGCTTAGCCAATCCAACTCTAACATAAAAACACATAGTACCTAGACAGCCTATATTCCCATCTAGGCCAATGTAGTTGATATCTGCCTTAGCTGCATCTTTGTCCCTTTCATCTTCCTGAGTCCAGTCCTGGAGATCAAAGATTTTCTTCTGGCGATAAGCTGAATTAGAATCAAAATTGATCTTCGCATCCATACACAGCACTTTGAAGGAAAAAAGAAAAGAAAATGATCTTAATTTCAAGATAGACGCAACAAACTATCCAATAATCAAACATTCTTCATTTTAGGGGAAAAACACATTTTGTTACTTTATTGAAAGTATTTCAATTTATGTTCACTTTTAATTCAAACTGTTTCTTGAAAAAGAGAATTTGGGAATTGAATCTGAAGTGCTACCTGTTACTGGGTCTATATCTCTCCTACGCAACAGATAAAGAAGGGGGGGAGGGGAAATCCCTGAAAAACATTTAAATATTTTAAAAATTACCAATTAACTATTGATGCTCCTAGCTAAACCCTTCACTTGGGCCCTAGATTCCATTCCCTCTCACGCATTCAACGACATTGTTCCAGCAATTGTTTTTCCTACATTATAAATCCTCCCCTTTTCTATTGGCTAAATCAAACTGACTTGCAAAAAATGCTGTTCTTCCCTCCAACTTAATAAAAAGTACTTTAACCATTATATTCCCCTTACTCTTCTCTTTCTATACAGCAAAACTCACGGAGAGAGTTGTCTGTGTAAACCAGGGATCAGGAAACTGGCTAAGGGCCAGATTCAGCCTATGCCTATTTTTTATGTCCTGTGAACTAATAATGGGTTTTACATTTTTAATAGGTTGGGAAGAATAAAGGGGAAAGGACAAAGGAAGAAGAACAAGAAGAAAAGCAGCAGCAACTGTGACCATATGTGCCCCACAAAGACCAAAATTTTAACTCCCAATCCCTGTGATTAAATTCATTGTACCAAATTTTTCTTCTGCCTTCCTTTCTTTAATCCACTCTAATCAGGCTTTAGCCTACAGTGCTCTACAACAAGGCTCATATGTAGTTCACCTCTCAAACTTCATCTTTCAGTACTCTACCACATTCTTTGCTCCAATCCAACTAACTATAACATTCTCCTTGCAGTTCTTGAACAGAGGCTGAAAAAACTGAGCAGTTTTAGCTGCTGCCCAACAGAAGAGACAATTTGGAGTCCAGCTAAGTTTACTAACACTTGGGTTGCGGGAAACGAGTTAAGTCGGCTCGCGTGAATTGCGCGTACTCCGCGGGAGCCGTCTTAAACTCGGTTCATATAGATTTGCGGTGGAGTGCGGGAAACGTGTAAACTCGGGCCGATTGTAACTGCGTATTACCAAATATTTCATTTCAATCGAACCCATACTTCAAAAGATATAGGCATTTTAACGCGCCATCTTATATTTTGGCGGGAAATTCACCCGACACCGTAGTGCTAATATAAAAAATCAACATTCTTTCAGAGGAAGATAACAGAATCCAAAATCTCTACACCATAACTCCAAAAATGTCCAATATACCATGGAAAAATTATTACATTTGTGAAGAAACAGGAAAATGTGACTAAGAGTAAAGAGAAAAAGCAATCAAGAGTACCCAATCCAAGATGACACAGATTTGGAATTATCAGAGGGCTACGAAACAGTTATTTTAAAAATGTGTAAGGATTTAAAGGAAAATATGATCATAATAAAGCACCAGATAAGTAATCTCAGCAGAAAATAAAACTATAAAAAGGAACTAATTAGAAAATCTAAAAAGGTATTGGTTTTTAAATACCACAATATCTGAAATGAAAAATTTATGGGTGGGCTTAACAAATTGGAGACAGGTCAGATCCTGAAGTCATCCAATCTGAAAATGATTAAAAACCCCACTTCAATGACTTATTGGATAATATAAAGTCATCTAACAATATGTGAAATTAGAAGGAGACGGGGAGGAGAATGTAGCAGAAAAAATTATTTGGAGAGATAAAAAACATATGTGTCAAGCCAGATTTCTATACCCAGTGAAAATATATTTAAAAATATAAAATTAAGATATTTTCAGACAAATGGAGGCAAAATTCATAACTAGCAGACCACATCAAGAGAAAATGCTAAAGGGAGTTCCTCGGGCTCAAGGAATGTAACATGTGGAATTAGAATCTAGAGCAGTGGTCTCAACAAGGCAGTTTGTCCCACTGGGGACATGTGGCAATATCTAGGGGCATTTTTGGTTGTCACAACTAATGGTCACTAATTGGCATCTGAGTCTACAATGCACAGGACAGACTTCTCCCATCCTTACCCTCCCAATGATCTGGCCCCAAAATGACAACAGTGACAACGTTAAGAAACCATGGTCTACAGAAAGGAAAATAATACCATAAATATATGTCTATATGAGCAATGTTGGCTAAAAGAATTTCAAATATGGAAAGGGAAAGAACTAGAATTAATTTTGTGGTATTGGAGTGAAATTAGAGGTACCAGTATAAATTCAGAGATTTTAAAAGATAGGCATAGATAAAAATATAGGTGTATTTTTATGTATGTATACACACACACTCTATCACATTCTCTTTTCTTTTTTTAAAATATATTTTATTGATTTCAGAGAGAAAGGGAGAGGGAGAGAGAGATAGAAATATCAATGATGAGAGAGAATCATTGATCAGCTGCCGCCTGCATGCCCCCTACTGGGAATCAAGCCTGCAACCCGGACATGTGCCCTGACCGGGAATCAAACCATGACCTCCTGGTACATAGGTTGACACTCAACCACTGAGCTACACCACCTGAGCGCGCGTGCTCGCTCTCTCTCTCTCTCTCTCTCTCTCTCTCTCTCTCTCTCTCTCTCCCCTTCTAGGCTCTGTGCACTGAAAAGGTTTGGAAAACAACAGCAACAAGCACAGATAGAATGCATATCTTGGTTTCTAAATACCACTTTCCATTAAAGGAACCAGGGTCCCTTGGTGCAAAAGCTAACTGCAGAATTGTAAGAAAGTAAAAGATAATAATCCTGGAATATCCTGTTGCACAAAAAGTAAAGAAGGGCTCAAAGAACATGGAAAACTTATGGTCATGCAAAACTGACATATAAATGTTCATAATAGCTTTATTAGTAAGAGCAAAATATTGAAAACACCCAAAATACCTTCAAAGGGTTAGTGGTTGAATGAATTCTGGTACATCCAAACAATGGAATACAACTCAGCAGTAAAATGGATGAACTATTGGTACATGCAACAACATGGGCAGACTTCAAAGACAATCTACACTAATAAAAGAGAAACATGCAAATTGGTGTCACTCCGCTACCCTTCCCATTGGCTAATCAGCATATCCTTATGCAAATTAACTGTCAGCCAAGATGGCGGCCGGCAGCCATGCACTGAAGCGAACAGGGAGGCTTGCTTGCTCCAGTGACTGCGGACTCCAACGTTCTCTGCCTGACTTGCCGGCCTCTCAGCTGCAACTCTAAGCAACTATGTACTATGTTGCAAATATAGAAGCTAAACAAAACCCTAGAAACCGGCTTTCAGTCAGCCGGGCTTCAGCCAGCCGGAGCGCAACATTGTATCAAATACAGAAGGTAAGGGCCAGAAACCTGATTTCAGCAGCAAGGCCTCAGAGCTAAAGCTGGCCCAGAATAGAAAAAAAAAGAAAAGTAAAAAAGGAGCAGTTGGGAGCTTCAGTCACCCGCCAACCTGAAAACAGCCCTCAGCCCCTCACCCAGACTGGCCAGGCAACCCAGTGGGGACCCCCACCCTGATCCAGGACACCCTTCAGGGCAAACCAGCTGGCCCCCACCCATGCACCAGGCCTCTATTCTATATAGTAAAAGGGTAATATGCCTCCTGGCACCGGGATCAGCGTGACAGGGGGCAGCGCTGTGTGTGACAAGGGGTGGGGCCACAACCTCCCTATCTGCCCTGCTCTGTTCGTGACAGGGGAAGGCGCCCCAACCCCCTGATCAGCCCTGCTCTGTGCCTGATAGGGGGGAGCTCCCCAATCCCCTGATCGCCCTGCGGCTCTGTGTTTGAGAGGGTGCGGTAATGAAACAGGTCTGTATCTCGACTGTGCTGGTGGTTACACAAATCTATGTGTGGGATAAAATTAAATGTATACATACACATATCTATACATACACACATGGACACACAAATGATTGAAGGTTTTTTAAAAAAGGTGAAAAATGTCCCCTCTTGGGCTTGCCGCTGAACCTCCTGGAGCCCGTTGACCACGTGGTAGAATTCAAACAATGTGGGGCCAGGTGAGGGCACCCGAGCAGGAGAAACAGATCAAGAGTTATGGGCTGCACCTGCTGCAATACCACATGTCCAGGCCTCCATGGAAAGGTGGTCCAGTTTGAAAGGGAATAAATTGGACCCTGGCCAGTGTGGCTCAGGTTAGAGCATCATCCCATGCACCAAAGGGTCCCGGGTTTGATTTCCCGTCAGGGCACATACTCATGTTGCAGGTTCCATTATGATTTCTCCATTAACTTATGAATTAAAGTACTTTCTTTAAATTTAAAAAAACATGAATTTCTAGTTTTATTGCTTTGTGTGTAAAGACTATTAACTATGTTATTAATTCTTAAATATTTGTTGAGACTTTCATTTGTGGTTCTGTATTTTATTTTTTAATTGGTATTTGAAAAAAAATGCTTTTCTAAATGCATTTTCTAAATATACATACATATATATATATCTCCATTATGTTAAAAAATTTAATGTGCTGTTCAAAAAAAAATGAGGAACATATAGCAAAGGCATTAATCTTTACTAGTACTTTGGGGTACAGACTCCTGAAGATTCACTCAGGAGCTAGTTGAAGATGATTCTCCAATGCAAATATACTTGGGGTGAAATCCTTAGGAAGCAGAATTCTTAGGCCTGAACCCTCCCCTTCCCCCCAATAACAGTCAGTAGAAAGAGCCACGGACAATGCTTGCAAGGGTGAGTGCAGTATCAGTAAACAGGACCCATACGCAATTCATACTAGAGTGCCAAAATCATGGTTCTCAAAAGGGGAAAAATTTGAAAGAGACTACAGATTGATATATTAGTCATGTCCCAACCCTCAACCCCACAATCACAAACGCATCGATTTTAAGTTCACAGGTAATACAATCAGGACAAAATGGCATCCTGGTGAGACTAATATAGTCTACTCTCTCACTCAGCTTCT